ACAATCTGCACACATTAAGAACAAATGAAATTAAGCTTTGTTTTTTTATTTTTTATGTTTTGTGTCATGATGCTGTTGAATAGCTTGAAATTGCAATGTGATTCAAGCAACAACAGATTTTTTATCTTGCGTAAACAAAAAAAACACTCAAAAGATTCATTCATTTTCTTTACTTAAAAAAAGTCTGGATATTATTTTTAAAGTTACCTTTTTTGTTACTTTCAAAGATTTCAAAAGCTTTGAAGGACATGCGGTCGAGTAAACGATTGCAGAAATGTTTAATATTTCAAATTGGAGTCTGGACTAGGAGAGGTGTGAAGCAAGCTTGATTAGGGTTAGATTGAGTGAGAAGAGAGCAGATGGTTCATTCTAACACCTCTCTGGTTTTAAGAGAGCCCAAAGGAGGTGCCTTGAGTGGATGTGGAGTTTATTGGTGGTCTTTGAGCGCTCATTGTGCAAGTTTTTGAAGCCTCTCTATTTTGTATATGAGTTGAATTTGAAGCATGAACCTTCAGTGGTTTTTGTTATTTGTCTTTGCAGAGATGCAGAGATTTGTTGTTAAAGCAAACATAGTTTAGCAGGTAAAACATGGGTACCTTATTGGGTGCATTAAAACATAAAAATAAATTATTTGAACAGAACTGTCCATTTCCTGTGTGCAAATCAAGTAGGGATGCACCGAAATGAAATTCTTGGCCAAAGCCGAAGCCGAATAAGAATAAATTGGTTGGCCGAAGGCCGAATACTGAATGCGGTGTATTGCATTTTAGTTTAGTTTGCCAATTTTTTCACCATTACAATAATTTAATAGTAAAAATTAGCTTTTACTTATTAGCTATTACTATTCAGAGAAATAAATCAAATAACAAAAATACAATTTCAAAAATATTTATTTAACACTGAACATTTTTTTAACATTCCAGCAGATAATATTCAAACAAAGCACAATATAACTTAAAATAAATAAATTAGTAAAATAAAAAAATATTTTTATTTGGCCATCTTTGAAGCCCCCCTTCTTGAATAGCCTATGTTAGGCCTATAACTGACTGCTGAAAGAATGTAACTATGTCTACAACAACAAATGTGCATTGAATAGGGCAAAAAATGTGGATGACAATAAATGAATAACTGTCCTAGACATAAGCCTACTTAGCCTACTTCTTCAGGAAAAGTGGCAGGTTCTTCTTTATAAAACGTAACTTCTCTGCTGTCTCGCATGAAAGTCGGTTCCTCTTCTCATCAATGACATGAGATGCAGCACTAAACTATGAGGTGCCGTGTAGGATTTAAATCAAACTTTGCTTATCAACACATACATAAAACATGTGTATATACACCTATAAATTACTCGCATATACACCTATACTACTGGATGTTCAAAACAACATAGATGAAACTTGTGTATATACATATAAACTTGACGCATGGATACACCCACATACACACGCGCATACATATAAACTTGATCCTCACATAAACACCCACATTAACTCACACACATAGATATAAACTTGCTGCATGCAAACACACCTATACACACTTGCATATACATATAAACTCCATTCTCGCATAAATACCCACATTTACATGCACATACATATAAACTCGCAGCATGCAAACACACCTATACACACTCGCATAAATAAACTCGATCTATGCATATACACCCACAACAACATGCGCTCATACACAAACTCACTGCATGCAAACACACCTATACTGGCATATAGCCCCAATGCCTAAACTCAATTCGTGTATAAACACCCAAAATAACACTCTCGCAAACATACAAAAAGAAATAAATAAAAGAAATTTACAAACGTTTATCACAAATCTGGTTATTGCAAAGCTTATGAAATAGAAATAATCCGATTAATAGAGGGATTAAATGTTAAATTATGAACATTCATTTTCTTGTCAGCTTAGTCCCTTTATTAATCCGGTGTCGCCACAACGGAATGAACCGCCAACTTATCCAGCAAGTTTTTCGCAGCGGATGCCCTTCCAGCTGCAACCCATCTCTGGGAAACATCCACACACACATTCACACACACACACACACACACTACGGACAATTTAGCTTACCCAATTCACCTGTACCCAGATTCAGAGCACCCGGAGGAAACCCACACGAAGGCAGGGAGAACATGCTAACTCCACACAGAAACGCCAACTGAGGCGAGGTTTGAACCAGCGATCCAGCGACCTTCTTGCTGTGAGGCGACAGCACTACCTACTGCTCCACTGCATCGCCAATTATGAACATATGTTATATAAAATATTAGTCTATATAAATAGACTATTCAAAATAAGAAATATTTTTATTTAAAACCTTTTCATTTAATTAGGTAATTACATACACAAATATAAATGGACAAATAGAACCCTTAAAGGACGTTCAAAAAGCAACCAGAAGTATAAATATAAATGTATACTTAAACTAAACTCCTCTTTTCTATTACAAATGTTAATGTAGCCTATAGTCTTGTTTTGTTTTTTAAATTCTTATAATTATTATGCTTTTATATGTTTTTACAATGTGGGTGTCAAAATTGCAAGATTTTGGTATAATTTTGATTGTTAATTATTCAACATATACAAAAAAAAAAAAAAAAAACGCTGATTAAAAGTCTCTGCTCTGGACACTCCTTTTGTGTTTGATAACTAATACTTTTAATTTTAACGTCAGCTGGCATCCAGCATTTTGGTGCATTAGCCTGTTTATTGGTGACAGGAAAACCCACTTAAGTGCATTCCTGCCCCCTACTGGACATAAGTGTGTATCATAACCCTTGATGAATAGTGACACCAACAATAAAACAAACATAAAAAACTAATATCAAACAAACATATTTTATTCAAAATGATTACTTAAGCAACCTTATATTTATTAAACAATAATAGCATTTTCAATAATTCAATTGCATAATAAACTTTTAATTTTGCAGGAGCATTCCTTAGCATAATCTTTTTATTTATTTTTTTTAATTAGCATAATCTATTTTCATAATTCAACAGATGTAATTTTTCTATTTATCACTTTATTTCTGTTTCTTAAGCTTTGCAATAACCTGATTCATGAAAAATAATAATCTTGTTCATTACGCTCAAAGGACTTTTACATTGAAATTAAACTACTTCCTTTTAAAGTGAAATAACTTCCTTTTACTGTGAAAATTCATGCATACACACATATGAAATCACTTGCATATATGTATATACACAACTGTATATATGTTTGTGAATTTTATTTTGTATGTTTGCACAAGTGTCATTTGGGTGTTTATGCACACATCAAGTTTATATTCTTATGTGAGAGTTTATGGGTGTATATGCATAGATCAAGTTTATATGTATATGCGAGTGTGTATAGGTGTGTTTGCATGCAGCAAGTATATATGTATATGCGAGAGTGTATAGGTGTGTTTGCTTGCAGCAAGTTTATATGTATGTGTGTGTTAATGTGGGTGTTTATGTGAGGATCAAGTTTATATGTATGCGCGTGTGTATGTGGGTGTATTCATGTGTCAAGTTTATATGTATATACACAAGTTTCATCCATGTTGTTTTGAACATCCAGTAGTATAGGTGTATATGCGAGTAAATTATAGGTATATATACATGTGTTTTATGTATGCGTTGATAAGCAAAGTTTGATTTAAACCCTACACGGCACCTCATACTAAACAGTCTCTCGCTGTCGGCGCGCGGCTCATCTGTAGTACGAGCCCGTTTATTCTCTGCGCTGTTTTCATCTCCTGCGCTGTGCATCACCTGACCGTCTCCAACACCTAGTGGCTTTCCCAAGTCCAACTCGGCCTGAATCAAAGCTGGATCGCAGCTTTTCCCCATATCCAAGTAATGATCTTTATATCGTGGATAAAGCAAAGTCGCGATGAAGTACAGGCGTTCTGAGTACCCCTGACTAAATCGTGTGCTGACAGCTTCTAAGAGCGCACTTTTAGCTGTTTTCACTCTGTGGTCTGTTTCAGCCTCTTTGTTTAAAAGACGCTTTAGTGCTGCAAGTAAATGTATGACGTCTGCCACAGATGAGCTTATCTCTCATGTTATCTGCTCAAAGGGGGCGAGAAGAGAGAGAACGTTCCTCTGGACAATTCACCAGAACAGTGTCTGCAAACGGCTGTTTTTGCCTCTTTCTCTGACACTTTAAAGTGTTTCCACACTGCTAACATGTTTGCTGCATAAAGCCTGCACCTCTACGCAGGTCACTATTTGATCGCGTCATTAAAAACGTCATTGTTCGGCAAAATTTATTTGGCCTTTTTTCTTATTTCGGTTGCCGAATATTTGGTGCATCCCTAAAATCAAGTTCCTTATACGTTAGAAGTCCTTTTATTGCAAAAAAAAAAAAAAAAAAAAAAAAGCTGATATCTAAAAAAGAAAAATATATGTGACGATAAAGTGATGGCTTTATTTATTTAATTTTTTTTTTAATGTCATGAAAGAGAAGTCTTATAAAACACATTGAATACTAGATTATAAAACTTATCTAAGGAATTGTAAATTGAAAGTGAAAATTCAAAGAATTGGTCTTGATCTGTCTTAATGTGTTATTTAAAATTTGCATCTTGCATCTTTTACTAGAAACAAATCTACATTTATTTATTTATTTAAACTGTTTGTTTGTTTGTTTGTTTGTTTGTTTGTTTGTTTGTTTGTTTGTTTGTTTGTTTGTTTGCTTGTTCATAGACTTTTTATTATTATTGTTAAAGTGGCCACAATTTTGGTAATAGGTGGATATACAGTACTGAGTATTTTAAGTTTTACATAGTACAAAACTTCACACTTGAAGTAAAAGGTTGAAACTGTTGAACTGGTGAATATTTAATAACAACATCAAAAAGTATGTACTCATATTTTGCTTATATTAGCATTTAAATTGAAGTGAGCTTCAAGAACAAGCTTTTTTTCAATGAAGATTACTGTGGGTCCAATGGTCTGAGTATCACTCTCTTTCTCTCTTTTCTCTGCTTTAGATCTATTTGCGTTTCCTCGACTATGAGATGCAGAATTCGAACGAGTGCAAGCGTAATTATGTGGCGGTGTATGACGGCAGCAGCTCGGTGGAGGACCTGAGGAATAAGTTCTGCAGCACAGTGGCCAATGATGTGATGCTCGTGTCTGCGCTGGGTGTGATCCGCATGTGGGCTGATGAGGGCAGCAGAAAGAGCCGCTTCAGGATACTCTTCACCACCTTTCAAGAGCGTAAGAAGCAAGCACAAACACACTTGTAGAGTTATCTTTAAGTGGGGACCTCCCAAAAATGTAATAATTTAATAACTTAAACTGTACAAAGTGTATTAACTTTATTCTGCAATGTGGAAGTGCGCTATTTTTGTGATTGTTTTAGAACTTCTGATTCAGTTGCCTATTGGAGAAATAGAAATGATACATGACAAAACATAAAAGGAGAATAGATTCCAATGGCTGCACCTGCTCGTATGTAAAGAATAAGATCAATATTCTTTCCATTTTCTCCAACCCTACACCTAAAACCAACACTCACAGGAATCAACCTGCAGTGTAACATTTTTAAACATTTAATTTATGAGCTATTTTCCTAATGGAAGCCAAAACAAAATAAGTGAAGAGTTCAGATGCAAAAACCTTTAAATGCTGTCTGAAATGTTCTCCTAAAATGAGAATTCTGTTCAACCTCCTGTTTATGTTTAGTTATTTCACTTAAAAGGCAATGAAAAGATTTTACGTTTCTATAAATGTTAAATTATTGAGGCAAAAAAGCCAAAATATATAAAATGGCTCTTAGACGTTTTTGCATCTAAACTCTTCATTCCCAGTTAAAAACAAAAAAACAAAAAAAACAACAAAAAAAAAAACGATTGAATTGCTTACAGTTTGTGTCTTGTTTAAGGTCCAAATATCAAAAAGCAAATATTAAATCAAGAAAAATGTTATAGGCAAATAACAAATATTGTTTTGTTTTCAGAAAAAAATAGGTAAAAATAAAGTTGTTGTTTTGTTTGTTTGTTTTTTCCATTGAGCAAGCTAAATTATCCGCTGGTGGATTAAGCAACATACATTTGTTTTCGGTTTGAATTCAGACTATTTTACGTGCCCCACTGACAGATAGTTGAGCCATTTTTATATAGATAGTTACATAATTTAGCAGATAACATTAATTTTTCTAAAAACAAAACAATATTTTACTTGTCTAGAAAATATGTTGTGATTTAGGAATTTATAGCTATTTGGACTAGAAACAAAGCAAAATATCTAAGTAAAAACAACTCTTTTTTTTGCAGTGCATACAATCAAAATGTACTAGTATGAAAATGAATGATGCAGGCTATTCATTAAATTGATAATATTTACTTTTTAATTCATAAAATGGATAGAATTTGATGCATGTTGTTTTAACAGAAAATATTTAACTGTCAACTTTATTATTATCATCATCATACAGCTTTCAAATAATTACTTTATTTGTCTTACAGCCTGAAATCAAATCACTTTTTAAATAAATCTTCCAGCCTTTAAACTGTTTTTGTAGCCTTTATCTGCCTTTCTTTATCCTGAAGTGTGGGTATGTATTTGTGAGTAAATGTATAGATTTTCACAGGTTTTGATGATTTTCTTTAGGCATTGTATATGTGCATAATATGGTTTTTAACAAACCTTTACAACAGGAAATTAAGTAAAATGTATTAAAATAGATATAATCAGCTACTAATATTTAATTGTCTTGTATTTAAATAGCAGCAATTCTCGTGCACCATTATAAATAAACAGTCATTTACATTCATATGGTTACATGTGTTTAAATCAATATGAAAAATTTTTCTAAGACTGGACATAATTTATTGTCCATATGTGTAATTTGCCATATTTTGTCTTGTGTCAAAATAGGCACTTCTTGTTAAGTTTTATGAAACCAAACACATTACAGGAAGGGTTTTACATCCCTGTGTTCATGTTTGTATACAATGTGAAAAGCATTGACATCTCTAACGCCTTTGCTCTCATTTACTGTTTTATGAACACACACTAATAAAAACACACTCCACTACTCATTTTCACCAGCACATTCATACCTGACAGAAGGCTAAAACGAGCTGGACTGAAAAAATGAAAACAGCTCATCCATGTGTCCATTATAGAAACGCCGGCCAGTCACACCCACAAACACGCTATAAATCATGCATAACCTGTCAGATACACTGGCATACTGGTTTATACAGGTTTGGAGATGGTGGACCCACAAGGTCATGCTGTTAATTAACAAAAAAAAAACTATAAATAGTTAGAGAAAATGTAATGAAGAATGTTGTTAAAAATGCAAAAACCTTTAAATCAAAATTGACAATAGGGAGAGATTTTGTGAATACCATATATGATGCAATGCAACTAATGCTGGTAGGTCATGTGGTAATGACAAAATGGCAGATTTAAGTTTGATTTATACTTCAGCATTGACTGATCATTGTATCCCATGGTCCTTCCTCAACACCATTGTGAATATTTATTATAGGTGGGCATTGATACATTTTTTAAATCTTAGAATTAATCTAGATTAATCTAGATATGGCTCATTTGAATTCTGCCGAAGGCATTCAGAATATGTGTGCTACCCAAATAATAAGTCTTTGAGACTGGGTTTCTCAAGCCAGGTGGCGCATTAGTACTGGGGGCTCATCTCTTGTTTCCAAAATGCATTATAAACTGTTTGAGAAACTGTTCTACTATAATAATTGATGATGAAAATAAATTATGTTCAGTAAGGTGTACTTGTGTTTGCTAACTGTTTATTCAGTTAAACATGAATTTTGAACTGTTTTGTAGGCCTACATAAGCTCCAAACAGCTATTTTTGATCACCTTAATCCGACTAAAGTCATAACTGAACTAAACAGAAATTAAATTAAGACGTGGAGTATGCATTTATTAGCGGCATTATTGAAGTAAAATATCAGTAAATCAGTAAATACCATCATTTAGGGCTTTTTGCCATATTTCCCGACAAGATCCACTCACGCGGCTGTCAGTAAAGAACCGCACACACACACACACACATCTCGAAATGCAGAAGTTTTTTTTTCTTTCTATTTGGTGTGCGTTAATAAATTCCATAACACTCTCACCAGTCCTTACTTCTTACTGGCATCTAAGGGCCTACTCACACTATGCCATCCGTACCGTGCCAGGCCAATTTCCTGGATCGTTTGAGAAGTGTGAGTGCGCTGAATCGGGCTCAAGCACGGTTCACTTGGCCGGCCCTGGCCAGGTTGGAAGAGGTGGGCCTGAGCGCGGTACACTTAAGCTTTTGGCGCGGTACGCATGTGTGTGAGTGCAAAACGCGCCAAAGCCCAAAACTGAAAGCGAGACGTGACTTTTAAGGGACTGTTTCATACGGATTTATATTAATCATTCTTACTGTTCGATGAACGCAAACTGCCATAGTTTATTAAAGACGCAAACCCCTCACTGCACGACAGCTGCACGCCTTCAACTGTACCTAGTGTGAGTACAGCCTAATACCCCACTTTGTCAGGGGGGCATGAATGAAATGTTCATGAGTTAAAGTGAAACTGCCGAACTGCAGTTAAAGTCAGGCATCCTGCTTATTTGATTTAGAAGGGCACTTTTTTGTCAAACAAGTCACCAGTCAGGTATACATCCGCGCTAAATTATCAAGGTGAAAGTCACCATAGCCTGTGTAGAATAGACCCAGCTCCCAACCCAACTTTGAGAATAGATTAACAGCGATATTTTTAAAGGCAGCACGTTAACGCAGATAATGGCCCACCACTAATATTTACACTTCTACTTCACCTGTGTTGCTCTGTAATAACACTTTCAAAACACTAGTTTGCGATAGAGTTTCAATGGTTCGAGTTTCTTTGTCAGTTTTTGAGGTTACACCGGAAATGTGTGTGATGCTGCAGTAGAAGTAGCTCAAACTCAAACTCATTCAAATAAAAAAGAATCAGAAACCAACAAACGTTTAACAACTTTAATCATAAAATAAACACAAAACAAAAGTGTCCATCTAGAGACTTGTTAAACATTAAGGCACATGATCTAGTGTCAGGGTATGGTGAAGTGTTTGCGACTGTGGGAAGGCTATGGCGAACCTACCACAGAGACTCAACGCAGAATCATAAATTGGCCTTTATTAAAAAGCATTTGCTATGTTCGTTGTCCTGCTCATTAAGCAGCAAGTCTTCTTCTTTTTTGTGTATCTCTGAGAGAGAATTACCACACCACATATTTTAGAATAAAGAGGCAATTATTTGAATGGTTTTTAAATTTTGTATTTTAATAACTGTTTAAATAAAACCCATATGACTATACTACCCTGCCTTTTACATAATGTGTGTCAGTCGATATCAAGCTGATATATTATGCTCAATTTTCAAGAACATGCACGATAAGGGTGTTAAATTTTGCAGAAATGTTCACAGAGGCCTCTTGGTGCATTTGGGACACATGAGAAAACATGCCTCAGTAATGTATTTGAGATGTCAAAAATGAACATGGCGCCCTCTAGTAGAATTGTAAAACAATATGGAAAAATGTAGTCCAGGACACATACAGTATTTGGCAGTTCTCAAAAAAAGTAGTCCTGGGCACATATCTCCAATAAACCTGGGTTGGCCATTATGGTCAAATTAACTGCATTTATTTCAGCTTCATTTTCAATGCCTTTGAATATGCATGCTTCTGTTGCCTAGCAACTTTCTGCTAACAAAAACAACTTTCTGATAAGAAAAGCATAAAGGGTGTCACACACCGGATGTGCCCCGTCACAGCGCGCACATGACAGTTGAAAGTATCGTACGCCAGACGCGCACATTCGCATGCTATTTAAAATTAAACTAATCAGATGGCACTCTGTGGCGCCGCAGAAAGAAGAACAGTGTCCTGAGTCATGGCTGGGGGCCGCCAACTTGCAGCGTCGGTGCGTGTACCCTGATAGAAACCTATTAGAATTCAGAAATGCATGGCTCTGCGTGGCAGCGAGTGGTGTTTCTGGTGTGTGACCTGCTTAACTTTATATCAGACATGTCCTTCAAACTTTCAAAAACAACATTTTCACTGTGGTGAAAAACATATTGCCTCCTGTTTGCTAAACAAAGTGAGGAACGCACCTTGTCTAGTAACTCATATACAATTATAGTCTACTGCAAACAAAGATCTTGTTTTTAAGGTAATGACTTAAAAAAATGATGACATAAAATATGATGAAATTCAAAACTTAAATCTAAAATCTCAGGTTTAATCAATAGGATAGATCATTGAGTTTTTCCTTAAAGAATGAAACCCCCCAGACTGACAGAATTACAGAACTGTCCATTAAAGAGAGGGCCTTTTACTGCTGGGAGGGTTAATTTTTCAGGTGTACATTGTTCAGTGAAGCATTGTTCCGTTGAGTCTGTGAATTTCGGTTCATGTCTCTGTTAGCCCATGAATTATTTTGGGAGTATCATAACTAAAACCCTAATATATAAAATAAAAAATAATATATCCTTTTAACCTTAATTTAATGTTTAAAATCCAAATCCAATTAGATTGACTTTATTTGGTAAGCAAAGCAAGTTTGTTCAATTCAATTCAGCTTTATTTGTATAGCGCTTTTACAATGTAGATTGTGTCAAAGCAGCTTCGCATAAATAGTCATAGTAACTGGAACAGTGTGGTTCAGTAACTGGAACAGTGTGGTTCAGTAACTGGAACAGTGTGGTTCAGGTTTTAGTGTTTAAGTTCAGTTCAGTTCAGTTTAGCTCAGTTCAGTGTGATTTAATCATTACTGAGAGTTCAAACACTGAAGAGCAAATTCATCGATGCGTAGCTCTACCAATCCTGAACCATGCGAGGCAGTGGCGACAGCGGAGAGGGAAAAAAAACTTCACCTGATAGGAGTGAAGAAAAAAAACCTTGAGAGAACCAGACTCAGTTGGGCACGACCATTTTAATTTCTCAGCTGGCCAAAAGTCTTGTGCAGAGCTTTATTCGCCGTGGTTTATGCTGGAAGATGGCCTCAATGAAGACTTGTCTGTCCCTGGAGCGTCGCTGGAATCAGACACATGTTCTCCACTATTATATTTGTCATATAATATATCTAGTAAAAGACAGAAAATAATACTGTATAAACTGCATTGTACATAAGATGAACATTTTCACATTAGTCAATAATATTACTGAAATTAATAAAAAAAAACTGAATAAATGTAGATTTACACATTTACTCAAGTAAATAAACAGAATTAATGATGGGCTAAAAATCTGTGGAAATCTGTGGAAAATCTGTGGAAAAAAAGATTTCGGGTGAGCCATACTCATCATTACTGTAGCATTAAACATATATATATATATATATATATATATATATATATATATATATATATATATATATATATATATATATATATATATATATATATATATATTTATTTGTTTACACACACCCCCCTTACCCCCCAACCCGTCTATATATAAATACACACACACACACACGTATACAGGACCTTTAAATTGTGTTTAAATTTGAATTATATATTATTAATCTCGCTAACACTAAAGGTTTTTATTTAAAAAATAAAAACATTTATTTCTTGGTTCTTTGTTAGCATGTTGGAAAAAAAAACAGTACATCAGCAAAGTTTCAGATTGCTCAGATTGATTGCGGCCTTTACTGGGGGCATCAGTGTGCAGTGTTTTAAAGAGACAGGTGGATATCCTGAATCATGCAGTGGAGGGAATGAGCCTGTGCTTTTGCTGCTGAGGCTCATGAGGATGTGCAGAAAACACATAATGCTCTTTCTGAGTGGGAGAGAAGCAGCTGCACGTCTTCGTCAGTCTCGTGAATGACCAAAGCTGGAACTGTGGAAGAGCCCAGTGTTTTCTGTGCAGCCCTGAACCTCAATGATCTCTCTCTCTCTCTCTCTCTCTCTCTCTCTCTCTCTCTCTCTCTCTCTCTCTCTCTCTCTCTCTCTCTCTCTCTCTCTCTCTCCCATATACAGTCAAAGCTAATTGTCCTCCTGTGATTTTTTTTTTCTTTTTAAAATATTTCTCAAATTATATTAAACAGAGCTGTCTTTTACAGTATTTGCTATGTGTTTTTCCTTCTGGAGAATGTATTATTTGTTTTATTTCTGCTAGAATAAAAGCAGTCTTTATTTAAACCATTTTAAGGTCAATATTATTAGCCCCTTTAGCAATGTTATATTTTTTTAATTTTCAACACAACAAACCTTTGTTATACAATGATTTGCCTAATTACCCTAACTTGCTTATTTAGCCTAGTTAAGTTAAGCCTTTTAAAAGCACTTTAAGATGAATGGCAGTGGCGCAGTAGGTAGTGCTGTCACCTTACAGCAAGAAGGTCGCTGGTTTAAACCTTGGCTCAGTTGGTGTTTCTGTGTGGAGTTTGCATGTTCTCCCTGCGTTCGCGTGGGTTTCCTCCGGGTGCTCCAGTTTCCCCCACAGTAATAATATATATATTATTTTTTTAAATACAGCCTACAGCAAATAACACACATAGAAATTTACAGTCTGTGAAATGTTACCAATTACAGAAACAATATTACCTTTGGCACAAAAAGCTGAAGACACATTTTTACAAATCAAAGGTAATATACTTAAATATTTAAAACATATGGGGTGTCAATAAGTGTGCCATGTTGTTAATTGCTCAGTGAGTTTTTTTACAATACAAATTACAGGAACAAATTAACTATTTGCTCATATTTATCAAGGGTGTGTATGTGTATGTGTGTTTGTGTGCTCATTGTTGGTTCATGTTAACCAATATTGACTACTGTTAACAAATGAGACAACATTGTAGTGTTACACTTAATAAATTAACTAATTGCTTCTTACTGTTAATTGCTACCAAATATTTTACTAAATGGTTCATTTTAGCTAACACATTAACTAACATAAATGAGGTCTTTGAAAATTAATGTCTTTACAGGTTGAAACACCTTTAAATAAAGTCTATTGAGTGGTTTGTTTAGGAGAAACACTTGCCTGCATTGCCACCTTGTGGACAAAAGTTGACCTGACTCATAACCTAAACACAAGAGTTGTAAGGACTGCACTTCTACAATGATGACTCATCCTAATTTACACTGTAATTTCTCACCTGGGAACATCTTGGAAATACAGTCGTTAATAAATCCACAGGGTACATTCAGTCACCCTTGAAGCTCTGTTATCTTATTTTATTTTATTATTTTTTTCCCACACAAATCAGGTGATCAATGTCCTCTGCAGACTGCAAAATAAGCATGTCTAGTGGGAAATAGACACATGTTGGTAGGTGTGTCAGGTGCTTAATGTATGCAAGGTGATTGAAATCAAAGCTCCGCCTCCTTTTAAAGTTACTTTGGCTTTAATTGAAACCTGATATTGTAATGTTACCAGTGTACTTTCAAATTGATCCTTTTATGATTTCTACTGAGGTGCCGATTCCTTTTTCAGCTCAAATGAAGATTTTTTCAGCTCATGATGAACATCTTTCATCATATATATTTTATGATGTACGAAACAAGTATTAGATTAATCATCTTTGATCTTGAGTGATAGTGGCACTTTTTGAAATATGTAAGTACTCAGAGTTCGTGTCTGCATTAATTAGCATCACATTGACGTCTCGGAGAAACTTGCAATATCTGATCTTATTTAAATAAGCAATTTAATTACTTTTAATTAAATTCTTTCTTGGGGTAAAACCAGAATAATAATAATCGAAATATTTCAAAATATCTGCACAGCTTCTGCAGACTTGGACTTATTTTCATGCATATTTGAAGAGTTGGATTAAAATTCATGCATGGCAGAAGGCAAAAGAATTTGATTTGGTTGGTTTGAGTAATGGGTTTCTAAATGTGAACTGTATTGATGCACAGACACAGTCAGATAGACATCTGGTGTGATTTGTGAGATTAATAGGGTAAGATCATGGACAGTGTCTTATTATCAGGGAAAAGTGAAGTGTAATGTGACATTATCCGTTTTTCCCTCTCATCAGCTCCCTGTGAGGCAGACACTTTCTTTTGCCACAGTAACATGTGTATCAACAACACGCTGGTGTGCAACGGAATCCAGAACTGCGTCTATCCTTGGGATGAGAATCACTGCAAAGGTAAATCATTTGTCTTTTTTAATATCCTCACAGATGCTGAGTGGCTTGTGTTTGCATATCTCAGCCTCATTTTTTCTTTATTGGCGAAGTATGCAGTTTTTTTTTACTACTAGTGTTTCCTACAGGAATTACTATAATAATTAAATCTGCAAGCATTGAACGGGCCCTCAAACCCAGACTTACTGCCACCCAATGACCTTAGACTGACTTTACACTTGTGCATAATCATTTTGAAATGGCATTTTAGAATGAAAAGGCTGTCCAGTCCACATTATACAATCTATGCTGACCATTCATGATCACCTGATATGCGCATATCTTGCCGACATCCGTACTTGCTGTCTACTAGTTGCATAATGGTCATATGAGAGGGGCTCGACCAATCAGGGTCAGTCTGCATACTGAAACTAAAATATTAATGATGCTCATTTAACATGTTATATTTAACATAGGGCGAAGCAGTGGTGCAGTAGGTAGTGCTGTCGCCTCACAGCAAGAAGGTCGCTGGGTTGCTGGTTCGATCCTCAGCTCAGTTGGCGTTTCTGTGTGAAGTTTGCATGTTCTCCCTGCGTTCGTGTGGGTTTCCTCCGGGTGCTCCAGTTTCCCCCACAGTCCAAAGACATGCGGTACAGGTGAATTGGGTAGGCTAAACTGTCCGTAGTGTGTGAATGTGTGTGTGTGGATGTTTCCCAGAGATGGGTTGTGGCTGGAAGGGCATCCGCTGCGTAAAAACCTGCAGGATAAGTTGGCGGTTCATTCTGCTGTGGCGACCCCGGATTAATAAAGGGACTAAGCCGACAACAAAATGAATGAATGTTATTTAACATATACATTATACAACTTCCATATCACTTTATTTTGATGATACCTTTTAACATTTATTCTTGACTATAAATGACATTTCTACTACATGTAAACTAATTCTTATTAGAGTATTAGAAAACTGTTTGTTCCTCAGCGTCAGTTAAATGTGTGGGTGGAGAAGTATCAACAGATATTAAGCAGACAATATACTAATATCCTAATTAGAAAAGTAAAGTTCGTAAATAAACTTTATAGTGGCTTGAGAAAGTGTTCTAGGTCGTTTCTAAGGTATTGCTAGGTGGTTGCCAATGTGTTCTGAGTGTTTGATAGGTGGTTGCTAAGGCGTTGATAGATGGTTGCTAAGGTGTTCTGAGTAGTTGCTTGGCAGTAACATAAATTAGCATGGTTCTAGTATGAATTAGCATGTTCTTAGCATGTTTCTAGCATAAAGTAGCATGCATAGTTCTAGTATTAACATGTTGTTAGCATGAATTTAGTATGATTTAGCATATTGCTATTATGATTGGTATGTTGTTAGTATGTTTCTAGTATGGATTAGTATATCGCTAGTATGAATTGGTCCCTGCTGAAAAATCCAGTTTAAACCAGCCTAGGCTGGTTGGCTGCTTTTAGCTGGTTGATCATCCTGGTTTTAGAGGGGTTTTGGTCATTTCCATGCTGGTTTCAGCCATTTCCACCGTGGTCTTAACTGGTCAGGCTGGAAAATGACCAGCTAAATCCAGCTTAACCCAGCTTGACCAGCCTGGTTTAAGCTGGACATAGCTGGTTTTGGCTGGACTCCCAGCTTGGCTAGGCTGGTCAAGTTGGTTTTAGCTGGTCATCTCCCAGCCTGACCACCTAAGACCAGGCTGGAAGTGGCTGGAAACCAGCATGAAAGTGGCCAAAATCCCTCTAAAACCAGCTTGGTCGACCAGCTGAAACCAGCCAACCAACCTTGGCTGGTTTAAGCAGGATTTTTCAGCAGGGGTATGTTAGTATGTCCAATCAAAAGTCAATCGCAGGTTTTTACAATAATGTCTATGCGACATTTGCTGGGGTGTTGTATGTGGTTGCTATGTTAGGTCACAAAGTTTGGTCAATGTTAGGTCAATGGGACTTTTATGAGTTTTCCAGGTCAGTTTTTAGAAAAGCATTGGATCAGTTGTAAAATATATAGCAACTGAATTCAGCATAGTTAGGTTTGGAGTTAGTTTAGTGGTTGTAGTATGAATGGTCTAGGAGGAGATGCATTCTTGAAATAGTCGGAAGAATAATAAGTTTATGTAGTATAACAGTATGTTGGTTTTCTCAAGCCACCATAATTAGAGTTGGATGCCATGTAGTTGCAATACTACTTGTATTCAACTAAATTGTCAAAAAGGTCCTTCAAAATAAAGTGATAACAATGTTGAAATTACAGTTTTTTTTTTGTCTTTGTTTTTTGTGAACCTTCAATATTACAATAAATGACTGATTTTCATTAATATTATAATATTTTCTTTAAATTTAAGTTGTCTTCTTAAACTTTTGCTGCATCAGCAGTGTTTATTCCTGCCTTGTATATGTATTTAAATTAATAATATTTCTGATAATGATATCTCTTGATCTTTAACAGAGAAGTGTATTGTGCAGACTCTCTCACAATCAAATGATCAAATGTGTTTCATTTTGCTTTAATCCCTAACTTAAACCCCTGAGTTAACAGAGACAGTTTAGATCAAGAATTGTAAAACCACTTAATCTGATGTTAACTGTCTGGATTTGGTTAGTTGGATTTGGTAAGTAAAATGATTTTTGCTGCTTGTTTAAAATATTTATTTAAAGTATTTATTTAAAATGAAACAACAAAATTCTTAATTTTTTTGGGGACAACATAATTGTTTTATGTCCAATCCACCTAAATTTGTAAAAACTATTACATTAACTTAATGGATTTGTGTTGGGACAACTTGAAGGAATTATGTGGAACCCAGATTCCTTATGCCTGTGTTATAACTATGAATAAATATTGAAAATTGTAAGGCCACAATGGACACAAGACATTCGCTTTTGCCATTATTGCAGGACACAACATATATATATATATATATATATATATATATATATATATATATATATATATATATATATATATGTTTTGCCTTCATTCCCGCAGAACAAAACTTCATCATCAATCCCCGCATTGCTCTTTTCTGAATGAAAAAGCATAATACTTGTCTGCTTGATGAAAAATACATTTAAAAATATTCATATTTTTAAGAATGTAGTTAATGTTTGAATAATTAGTGACTGACCTAATCCACCCACGACTCACCAGCAATTAATCAGAATGTACTTTTTGATTACCTGACCTGTCTGACCCGTGGATAATCCGGATAAACACAATCTGTGCATCACAAATGGACATGTAATTGAACATACCAAAGGCCTTTAGATTAAACTGCCCAAATTTGGCGTTGATCATATTAAATCTCTAAGAGTTTGAAAAAAATTCCTGTTGAGTTTCAGATTTTTCTCTAAGATTTGTATAGGCACAGGAACAAATCATGTGTCTACTGAATTCTGTATGTAATCAGTCTGTTGAAATCTGTATGAAACCAGTCTGGTATCAAAAGCGGACACTGCACTGAGACTACTCAGCGTTCAGTTGTGGAATCTCTGAGACTCGCAAGAGCTCCATCCATATTCTCAGTTCTCATCTTGCTGGATTTATTTGCTCCTTTTGATACAGTGACACATTCTATTGGCAACCCTCAATGGCCATCTCAGGAACCACATTTCCAAGGTTGTACTTGTATCTCTCAGAAAGGTTTTCATGGTTTTTTGGATGGGTGAAATATCTAAGCCACACCCTCCTGCCACTGGGGTCCCTTAAGGCTCTGTTCTTGGGCCACTTCTTTTGTCTATTTGTGTGGATTCACTTGGGGTCTGTCATTCAAATGCTTATCCACAACTTCACCATGTAGCTGGGCACCTCGGAAAATAATTCTTCCAGGACACAAGAATCAAGAAGTGGTTCTTGATAACCAGCTTTTCATCTTACACAGGGGTGTAAGATGAAAGGGCATAACCTGTAGTAAGTTAAAGGTATAACTTGCTGATATCAAAATCCCATTTAACCATGCGAGATGGCGGAAAAACGTAACATTTTCATCAAATGTTTTCATAAGTTTTCTCCAAATTTATCCACAACCATTACTTTGATATATTATTATATTCATTCATTTAGCTACTACACCATGCAACTCCACTCACTGACTTCGTCATCCATTTTTTCACAACAGTTAGCCTACTCAGCGTCGCCTACTGTGGTTGAAAAAAACAAAAAAAACAACGGCACGTCAAGTATGAAAGCCTCCACATCTCTCGGCTGTGCATTAACAACTATGATGGTTGGGTTTAGGGTTGGGAAGGTGTAGACGTTAATAACTGTGATGATTGGGTTAAGGGTTGGGGTGTAGACATTAATAACGATCATTGTTTGGTTTTGGGTAGTGGTAGGTAGAGACACCTATTATTGTGAAGGTTGGGTTTAGGTATGGAGTAGGTGTAGACATTAATAGCTAATCTACAGCGCCGTCTTGCCAACAACATAGTTTTGACATGTCTCCATAACTTTAAGATACGTTTCTAACATATAACATAAGTTACGCCCCTAAGGCCCCTTTATGTTATGCCCCTGTTTTTGCAATCCACAGACAGACCCTACTCGAAATTTAGTGATCACATTGCTGCAACGGACCATTTTTGTAGATTTGTAGATTTGCACAACATAACATCGGGAAAAACAGAGGTTTCTTATCAAAACATGCTGCTAAACTGCTTATCTGAGCCCTTGTCCTGTCCAGGCTGGACTATTGCAATGCTATGTTGGCTGGCCTCCCAAACAACACCATCAAGCCTCTGCTGCTGCTTCCGAATTCAGCAGGGAGACTGGTCTTTAATGAACTTTTTTCATAAAATGAAAGAGTGCATGTCACACCTTTATTCATCAGTGGCTGCCAATTGGCGCTTGCATCAAATTCAAGTTGCTGTCACAGCCCTAAAAGTTCAGGTTTTTGTGCCTGCCATCACAAGGACATTCACCTTTAATGTTCCAACCTGGTGGAATGAATTGACTAAGCAAAAGAAAATAAATACTGTAAAGCCAGTGTTTCCCACCAGTCTCTACCATTATTATTGTTTACATCCTTCAAAATGGTCTATACAGACTGTTTATTTTATCTCTTCATCCCAACCCAGGCCTTTTTTTCTCTTGGGGACCAACAAATAAATAAAAAGGATCCCACAAGATCCAAAATAAATGCTATTTCCTTTACTTTGAAAAGATTGTTTCCTATCCTCAGAATGTTTTACAATTTTTTCATTTTTATTTTATTTTATTTTTTACATTTTAACAATAACAAACTGACATGTTGCAAACAGTGAAAACAGCCTGCAGGTTGAGCTTAACAATTAAAGCCAAATATTTCATCCAATTTCTCCATCTTGTAAAAGCCCCAGTGATGTTGATCTGTTTTTGTTTTTTTTATTTCTTTCATCATGGCAAATAAGCAAATGTTGAATTACGCTTCTAAGCTTACCAGTTAAACACTTTTTTGTGGATGGAACCACATCCTAAACTTGCTATTGGTTGAGCTAGAAATTGATTGACAGATTTGATGGCACCCAGGAGTCTCTGTTTACTCATTTCTGGGGCATTGACCTCTGAATTGTGTAATCAATAAACAATGAACTGAGTTAAGAGAATTTATTTGAACATTAAAATCATACTTCACTTTTAAATGAATATCAATTCTTGCGTAGAAGCATTGTCTTGATGTTTGCCCTGCTTGATTGCTTGCCAGTAAAATATATATGGCCTTACAAACCCACAGCTGTTAAGAAAAAAAACATGTTGTTATAAAGCCCTTAGACCTTCATTGATTGTTAATGCTGCCGGGAAATATAGGCTGGCCATGAGAAATTCATTTGTAAATGTGATTGTGACTGACTGTGGCTCAGGCTCCATTTGAATAATAACTTGCAGTTTGACTTTACCTGTGCTTTTATTTCACATAATCTAAATTAAATGAATGTTGGAAATAATGCTGGTGACCCCAGGAGGGAAGTGGTGGTATAGCTAAGTGTTTAATGTGAGTTTTTATTGTTCTTCATTTTGATAGAGGAAAGTGTTTGTGTGTGATTGAGTGTGTATGGATGTTTTCTAGTACTAGGTTGCAGCTGAAAGGCCATCTGCTGTGTAAAACATGTGCTGGATAAATTGGTGGTTTATTCTGCTGTGGTGATGAGAAGTGGGTAGAGTATCCAAAATCTGTACTCAAGTAAGAGTACAAGTACTTGCAATTTTTTTTACTCAAGTAAAAGTAAAAGTAACAATCTTAAAAGTTACTTGAGTAAGAGTAAAAAAGTACCTTATGAAAAAAAAATTACTCAAGTACTTAATTACTTTTGATTTTATTTATTTAGCACTACCTACTGGCGCAGTAAAAAAAATACATTTGTAAAAAGTACATTTGATTTGACTGAATATTCATAGATAACAAAAATAGCCATATTAGTTTTCACATTAATTTCAATGTAGGATTTTCCCTTGTCTTAAAGCCTTTTTCAATGGATTAATTTACTATATATGATGGCATAGCAGTCAAAATAAGACAAATGAACTCATGTATGGGACAAATTCTGGACCTTTGTCATTGAGGGGTGGGTTTTTCCAACTACCCAAACCCCCATAGCTATGGGCCTGCATAGTTATCATGAATAAGGTTTAATTTGTGATAATTTTGACACTTACCACTACTTTTTTCTGGTTGGAGCTGGAATTCATGCATAGGCTGCGATGTTCATTCAATGTACTGTGCGTGCATCGCATTATCAGACTATTGTTGACATCCTAGAGTAAAAAAAGACTGAACTTGAGGCCGGGTGACCTGGTTCGATAAACTCACTACACAGACAGCACGACCGTCCTTCTCGGAACATCAGATGGCCATGGCGTGACTGCAGTATACCTCACACGTCTCCCTCGTCAGCCATCATTCAACACAGGCACGTGCGCTCAATCGAAATCGGGAGACGAGTCTCTATAGCGACCTCTTGCGACATAACCTCTCCTTGGCGGCGCCTCGCAATATTTCCAAACAAAACATATGGATCATATTTATTATCACTTGACAGTAACGGAGGAACGCTGCTAAATGTAGCGAAGTAAGAGTAATGATTTTTCTTTAATAATTTACTTGAGTTAGAGTAAAAGTACACATATTTAAATGTACTCAAAAAGTATGCGTTACCCAATAATTTTACTCAAGTAAATGTAACGAAGCAAATTTAACTCGCCTCTGGTGGTGACCCCTGGTAAATAAATGGACTTAGCCAAAGGAAAAATGAATGAGTGAATAATTAGAATGAATCTGTGGATTTTTGTCAGTTTTTACCAGCGTTAAATAGTCAGTTAAATTAAATTATATAAATATTGGTACTCTGTTAATTTACATTAATAAATGTGCATTCTGTGCCAGAGCGGCTGTCTTTGTTTTGGCCAATTATATTCAGCACCATGGGTTGCCTTGATAGAAAAAAGCATATTTGATTTATTCAGTCATGAAGGCTCTCAGAGAATTCATACACAATCGAAATGCGATCTCTGTTGTACAGTAGCAGACTCTGAAATGAGATACAGATTCAGTGTTCCACATGAGGTTATTAATTATGAAATAATATAAATATTACAAGCGTAAACATTAGGTGAGCAGGTTACATTGTAACCCTGTGTCCTAACAACACACTATGTGTCACAGTCGGGGGTTGGGGAAAAAGAAGCGATGACCCAAGTGCAGGGTAAATAAGTACTTATTTTTAATTAAATAAAATAAAAGGCAAAAACAGCAAAACAAACTACCCCGAGGAGGAAAACATTAACAAAACAAATAAACAAAAGACGAATGACGATGACGAACTGGGCGCACGGTCTGGGCGCACCTACGTCAGCGTGCACACAGAGACACACACAATGACAGAAAACGAGTGCTCGATCTGACAAAAAACTCGAGCCGAGCATAGCATATAGGACAAGACAGATTTAATGTCTGGACTCTGCCACCAAAACAAGAATTTACAAGACCAGAGTGGCAGAACCCTGACACTATGTGACAAGATTTACAGTGATAAGCAATTTGGCTGTTTGCATCAGACGAAACACAACAGAAATTTCAATACAGCCATTCAGAAACACAGAATATGCACTCACCCATGAAATGGTAAGATTGATTATCTAATTAATACATATTAAACCTTTTTAACATTATTGATATGAGTTGGTTTTGATTCAGTGTACTAAAGTTCAATTTCAAACGGTTTATTTTATTTTCAAGATCTGAGGTGAACTATCTGCTGCTGCTTTCAGTAGTATAGCAATAAATGTCATGTAAAATGGCACTCACATTGTTAGCATTTAACACTGAATAAAGCACATAAGGTGTACCTGAGATGATTATTGTCAATTTTCTTTTATTCAGTTACAATAAATAGAAGCTGTTTCTAATTTAGCAATTTAAGGTGTTGGTTAGAACAAAAACTCCTTTTCATATGGTAAATATTCCTTCTATCACTTGCTGTTGCTTTTATATAGAACATATCGATCGTCAGACTCGCTACTGTTTTTCCTAAATTTGGCAACCTGTGCTTGCATTTGGTTTGCTCCGGAATTGCAATACCTAATTCAACCACTGGGTGTCAAACTTACATACTGCACCTTTAAGCAGAGAAATTGTATATAAAATAAATATCACTAAATGTATATTTTAAATACTATATACAAAAAGGATATTTAAATAATATTTGAAGTTTTTCATCTTAATACAATAATATATAGATAAATGGTGTATTGTGTGAAAAGGTATAGATTTTAACAGGGTATGAGGATTTCTACCGGCTCTATATAGTTTGTTTGTTAAAAGTGCATTATAAAAGCCACAAATCATCACTCAGTATTTGTGTCTGTACCTCTAAGCACAAACACTCCACTTCACTGAACCAGAGCCAGCACAGATGTTATACACTCACTGTGCTACATAAACGTCAGCCCTCTCCCATTACAATGATCTACTACTTCTGCGTCCTGTTTGTAATCTCTCCAATACAACAGTTTCAACAGAAAGTAACCTGCCTCGACACACCCGTATTAACAATTCATCACCTTCCTGTTACTGTATATGTTTTCCAGAAAAGCGGAAAGCAAACATTCTCGACAGCCTCAACAACACCAATGGCACCATCATCGGCGTCACATGCTGCATCGTCCTGATTCTACTAATCGTATCAGTGATTGTTCAAATCAAGCAACCACGGAAAAAATACATTCTAAGGCGAGAAGATTTTGACCCAACCATGTTCCAGGAAGTGTTTCAGGAGCCACCCCATTACGAACTGTGTACCCTACGTAGCGCTGCCGCCACATCTGCAGACCTGGCCGAGCTGGCAGAAGATTTTGAGAGCTACCACAAACTCAGGCGCGCATCTTCACGCTGCATCCACGAGCATCATTGCGGCTCCTCACAGATCTCCAGCAACAAGGGAAGTCGCACCAACCTGAGCGCACGTGACGCGGCAGCGGCGGCCATCTTGACTGACCTGCCACCCCAACCCATGCGACCGCTTCCTCCCCAAACCAACCGCAGGAACATTCTGGTCATGAGACACACTTACTCCCAAGATGCCACTGATGCCTGTGAGCTGGACGATGAGTTGGAGGAAGTGCCCACTACCAGCCACAGACTGTCCAGACATGAGAAAGCAGTGCAGCGGTTAGTATATATTGATTTTTTTTGTTTGTTATTGTTGTTGTTTTGATGAGAAATGTCCATTACAGTGCATCTTTTAGAACAGTTTTACTCCCACTTTTATTTTATTCCTTTAGCTCCTCTGCTCAGCTACTCATTGATTTTTCTTTTTGTTTGTTTCATTCTCTCTCTTCTTTTGCTTTAATATTCTCTTTTATTTAACTGGGAGATAGCTGTCATAATTAGAGCTTTTAAAATTCTTAGATATTCAGACTTAATGCTTAATAAGGAATAGTTCACCCCAAAATCTAAATTTACTCATCAAGGTGAAAAACTTTATGAGTTTCCCTTTTCTGTTGAGCACCAATTAACATATTTTGAGAAATGTTGGAAAATTGTAGCCACCAAAAGCCAGTAAAATACTATGGAAGCCAGTAACTACTGGGAAGGCTCCACAAATAATCAAAGACTATTTTCATGTGCATTTTGGCAGTAAAATCTAGGGATGCACCTATCCCAATCAGTGGTAGAAATGACTGAGGCCTCTCTCACGCGCTCTCTGTGTCGTAAGCACTTGCTCTCTCAGCTTTTGCCCACACTCACGCTCTCTGTCAGTGACAGTGCTGTGCACACCAGTTCCCCACATTAGTCAAAAGTAAACCTCCAAATTTTAAATTAGCTGAAGGTAAAAAAAAAAAAAAAAAAAAAAAAAAACTGACTTCATCTGCATGTTAAAGTTTACAGGCGCAAAAATGTGCCTTGATGTATAGACTACTCTGAAACTGTGAATATTTAACTGTAATTTTATTTATATTAATATTTTATTTAACTGACCCGTTGTGTTTTGACGCTGTGTGGTCTGTCATATACAGTAGGCCTATGGGTATGGTATTTTTACTAAAAAAAGATATATTATTTGAGTTTATCACAAGAACTATGGAAACTGTTTTATGTAAAAACAAAACAGTATCGGGATCGGGTCTGTATCGGTCAATAATCAGAATCGGAATAGTTCTAGAAAAGTAGTATCGGTGCATCCCTAGGAAAATTAGCTTTGTAATCAGCAGTAAATCTCCAGCACCTGCTTTCAAATGGAGTAGTGTTTTCAAAACAGAACCATGGTTCACTGACAAGCTACACAAAAAAATTTAAAAAATAAAAAATCCTGCTTATTTTCAAAAGGAAATATTTCAATTAAAGGGAATCGTTCTGCAATTAGACAGCTGCTTGAATCACTTCTCAGTGAACACTTTGTGTTGGTGCTGATCTTGAAGCATGCAAAAATACCACATTCAATTACACAATTGTTTTGAACTCGCCTCATATCTTCAGTCGAGTGTTTGCTATTAATCCATAGCTGTGTGTTTATTAGTCAGGTCAAATCAATAAAACACAATAAAAAAATCAATAAAAACCATTGCTCTTCTTTGTAACATATTTGCTGTTTCCACACAATTGTGCCCTCTGGTCTTTAAAGGATATTTTCTAGTGATCACAGAGCTGTATTTCCCTGACAACATGTGAATGAGAATCACATCTTTTGCTGAATCACAATATCAATTTCATTTCAATTAATCTCGCTCTGGTTTCCAAAATATAGCAAAATATCTTATTTTGTGTTCAACAGAAGAAACAAACACAAACAGGCTTGAAACAAGAGCAGTGAATAAAAGATGATAGACTTTTAATTTTTGGGTGGGCTATCCCTTTAAGAAGGTGTCTGTTGCATGTTTACAGCTCACTATCAGCTAAAACTACCACATTTCAATATTTAAATTTTAAACGCCCTTATTATGCTTTTCAAAGGGTCCTAGTTTGGTTTTGGAGGACAAAAAATCAACTACTGGTCATATGTTGATATAGAAGGCTAAAGCCCAATCCTAATTTTACACCTTAACCCTTCCCCTTACCCCTAACCCTCGTTTTGCAAGTTCATGTGAAGGGGTAGGGGTGTTCCAATTCTCTTTAGCTTAAAGGAGTAGGGCTACGGGAAAGAGCTAGATACCCCTTCAAACTCAGATTTTCCAGGACCACACTCGTAAGCCAGGGGTAAAAACATTTTCCAGAATACACCATAAACAGCGGCAGCATGGCTGCACACAGAAGTAAGGAGATCCACAAATTAGTATTTATTGTCATTATTACTATTTTTTACAACAAACTATTACATGTTTTAATATGTTCATAATCACACTCATGTTTTATTAATAACTCCTGTGTGTTTACATAGATTAATATTGCCACGGTGTAAGTGCACAGTGCAGTTACAAGCTTTTTGCCACATTATATCCATATATATATATATATCTGTATGATAACATGATATATGCCTTCTGTGATTTCCTGAAGATAAATACCTAAAAATAATGCAATGCAATGCAATCTTTGATCTCATATGAAGCAAGTGATTGCGATGACATATGATGAAGGGTGCAGGTGTTGTAGTGCTGTACCATTTCTTAGGGGTAAATTTTGAAGCGCTTCCCCTTCACACTTTGGGGCCACTCAGGACAAGGACAAAAATAAAATTGGGATTGGGTCTAAGTTTGTAGACCAAATGTGCTTATCTATATACAGTCGTTGTCATTAATTTTCTCATAGCTGGTGGAATTATATGATGCTACATGATGATATATGTTCCAGAGAAGTGTGCTTCGGGCAGGTTTTAGAGCAGTGCTGTAAGGTCACTGCTCCAACATTTTAAACACAGTATGATTTGGGCTTATTTCTGAAGCTCTGTGGCTATTGTAAACCCTGGCTTGTGCTGGCAAAATTGTAGAAACATGGTTATTGTTTGCAGGCTAGAGTAAACAATCCTTCTTTCTTTTAAGATAAAAAACTTATTTTTGAAGTTTAAAAAACATGCATCTGAAATGTTTGCATGTTTAAAAATAAATAAATAAATAAATAAATAAAGCTAAAACTGAAAATTAATCTGATTTCATTCTGTCTTTCGCCTGTTAAAAAAAAAAAAAAAAAAAAATTATTTCTTCAGTTTTTCACATCTAAAGCATTTTAAGAGATGTTTTGAAAGATCAGAGCCGCCATACAAACAAAAGCCAAAGTCTGTTGGATGCAGCACAGAGAACTTTTTTGACAAAGTGCAGAATATAGTGCAGAAAATGTCATTTTTATTATATTTTTTTTCTACAAAACGTTAGATACACACGATATTGTGAAGAATATTAGAAACTGGTAGCCACATTATTAATTTCCATAGGAAAAGCATGCACTATGGATATTAATGGTTGTGTTTCCAGGACTTTTCTAAATATCATCAGAAGAAGGAAACTTAAGCATGTTTGTAATGTTTGTGTGTAAATGATGACACAATTTGCCAGTTTTGGGTGAACTATCTCTTTAAGAGGAGAGAGGACAAAAATCCTCCTCACTGCTTGAAGATTTTTTGGATGTGTGCAAAGTTACATGACACAATTTTAATATAGAGAATATGAAAAAATGTATACAAAAATTTTGGATTCAGAGTGTAAAGACTTTAATTTCATTTATCCTGAACTTTGATATTTAAATCTTTGCCGATCTTTTGCATTCATAAGCAGCTACATTGCGCACTGCATGAAAGGTAATATCTGAAATAGCATAATAAGGGCACTTTGATGTTCAAATAAGGGTGGCATAGTTCAGTCCTGAAGAGCCACAATCAAGTGAAGTTCCTCTTCTACCCCAGTAAAAATCATATGGAAAAGCTAATCTTGGTCTATGAGTTACTAGAAAGCTACACAGTTGAGTTTGTCAGCACACCCAGGTATAAAGTTACAAGACTTGTCACTATAGGGGGATCCATATTGATATTTTAAAGGTACAAGTTAGTACCTAAAATTTCAAGAGGTACATTATTGTACTTTTTTTGGTACTAATATATGTGTCTTTAGGAATGAACTACAGTGACAGCTCTCATGCCTTTATTTCTGAGAGTGTATTTTACAGTCCTGTTTTGTATGTACATGCTATGTACTTATTATCACAGCTGGGTGTCCATCACCCAGAGTTAAAGGGCACCTATTTTACCCCTTTTTTCAAGATTTAATATGTCTTTTGTGTCTCCAGAATGTGTCTGTAAACTTTCAGCTCAAAACCCCCATCAGATTATTTATTATACCTTTCAGAATATTGGAATGTTCTGCTTTGAACTGAAGCTGTTTTTGTGGCCTGTGCCTTTTAATGCTAGTTCTCTCCGACCACCGTTCCCACGTGCTTGTCAGAGTGTGCCTCAATCTTCGCCTCGGCTCCGTCAGATAAACAGCACAGTGAAAGACATGGCAGAAGCAGGTCTTATGTAACTTTTGTAAAAAAATAAGAACTTTCCCAATGATTATTTGATGTAATTGTTGTGAAGTTAATTCTGCAACAATGAGTCACACACAATGACTTTGCAAAGTGTGCGCACACAGACACACATACACAAACTAAACTTCACACAGTTTTTGCATGGCAAATGTAAAAGGATACACCTTAATATCCACTGCTGTATGGATATCCATTATGGTAATGTTCAAAATAAACCCTATTTAATGTCCACAAATCAAAATTAAATCGTCTTTTATAATTGTTCTGACATATGGCTGTGGTGATAAAGACGGTAAAATCGCTGTAATTCATTACAAACATTCACTGTTTAAAAATGCTTTAAACTTGTAAAACTCATTTTTGATCACATTTCATGATGATTGATGATCACCGAGAGCTGAACAGATCTTTTAATCCCAGTTGCTTTGTGCATGCCCTGTCTTGTGGATATGATTATACTAGTGCTGTCAAAATTAGTGCATTAACGCATGCGATTAATTTAAAATAATTTAAGCGTTAAAATAATTAACAAAATATATGCAGTTGCAGTTTTTTTTATTTCCTGTTGTTGCCGTGGTGTGTTCTACATGTTAAAAAAATATGGATAAGACCAAGGAAGCACTTTTTAAGGCAAGTTTCAGTGTAAAATAATGTCGCATAACCAGGCTCTCCAGCGTTTTCTCCAGAGTTTCATCTAATTTCGTATTTTTCATTTTTAACTTTCGACTTTTGTTTTAATGGAATTTGACACCGCATAGCGAACGGAAAGAAAAACCTCCGCATTTCGTGACTCTGTGGTCCTTTAAGGTAATCAGGAATTGCTGCTTTTGCATGGTAGACTTTTAATAAGAGTCTTATCTTAATCATATTAAAATCGGAGTATTGGTGTCCATGTAAATGAAGTGCCAGATGAGCTGTCAATGTCAACGCATTCCTCTGCCTTTCAGCATGAGGCCTCTGATTTTTTATTAAGTTTAACGTGTTTCCCGCCTTAACGCAACTTTTGTAAAGTTTGGCTTTTTTTTTTTTTTTTGCAGTCCACTTAGAAGGTTTTCTTTATTGGCATTGATTGATTTGAAAGTTAAATAGCACTAACATGCCTGTGTTTTAGTTTCTGTAATAAATATGGCTGTCATGCCAGGATATTGATGGTTTATTGTGGGTATGTTGTTTACATGAAAAAATCTGTGTTACAAGTTAAACAAAAATTCTAATAATGAATTATATTTTGAATGTAAACAGTTTTTGTCTTGTGTTTACATAAATTTGACATTTGATTAGCCAAAATTACAAGTTTTAGTCTTTTTAATGTGATTAATCGTGATGAATTTTCAAGAAGGTGCGATTAATTGGTTCATTTTTTTTATCGATTGACAGCACTAGATTATACCCATTAGTATGGAGACATGTTAATACGAGACTGTAAATCAATTCGGTGGGCGGGGAAACTGCACTTCTACATTTTGATGCAGTGGGACTCAAAATGGGAGGGATTTGGATTCTCTTTTAACATCAGGAAATTTAAAAAAAAGACTTATTGTCTTTATATCACCCCAATATGTCTGGATGCACTATTTCCACACACAGTTCTGTCCAAACAGCTTTCAAAAGATGATTTTCATCATAGGTGTCCTATAATGCGCATTTTGAAGATTAGCACAAGAAACACTTTAATCCTTCAATAAAAAAAAATGCAAAAAAGGATAAATGTGAAAAATCGAAGATGATAATGCATTTAATAAATAAACTCTGACAAAGCCAACATAACACTCACGGTAAACACCAATAAAATGTCTTTATTATTTTTGCATTGTTTACTGTTGGTTACTAGATTACCAATACTACAGTCAACTGCTCTCCATTTTATTGCTATTTTTTGCAAAAATTGAAAAGATCCGCTTCAAGTTAAAATTGAAACCCCATAAAAGTTTTTAGATAGTTACCCATATTCAATAGTTATCACCATAACCCAGTATATTCTTAGTTATGTACTTGGTAAGTACATGCCAAGGACACATACTGTTAAATAAAACGCAACTGTGAGTTTTTATCTAGGTTATCTTGTTTTATCCAGGCTGTGACTCTTCAGGACTGAACTTGACCACCACTGAATAACACATTCATGCTGCATAAAGACTGAGTTCATAACACCAATTTTTTTTACAGTGGTTTCATAGAGTTAGAAAATGTTTAAAATTGTCAAAAAGGCTTCTGATTTAACCCTGTCCACATGCATGAATCAATTCAGCATGTCAAGAAGAAAAGGACATTGAGAACTTATAAAATAGCTCAAAGTGTTTATTATTTCAGTATTAACAAAAGAGAAACTGATTGATATTGTTCTGCTCCTTTGAGAGGACTGGAGAGAACCAGAGCGCAGACAAATGAAATGTGCATTATAATTCATTCTGCAACATGTAACATGATATTAAACATACAAGCGATGATATTCCAGGTTCTGCCTCATTGGGTCTCTAAACAAACATGAATCTGAGTACAACACAACTAGAGTGTAACAGACAATCTGAAGGTAAGACACTTTAAACACACTCAATTTCATCTGTGTAAATGTCTGTCTAGTCTAGTCACTGTGAGTCAGTGTTTTCTTGTTATTTATTTATTTAATTTTTTGTTTCATCAAAATGCCTTCATCACTGCCATTGAGATGGTCATCATTAGAAAGTGACCATCTTGCTTATTAATGAGGTCATTTTATATGTTGCTTGTCATTTCATTTGTTTTGTATGTTACTGTATCACATTCTGATGTGCATGCAACAGGTTTGTTGATTTTATTTTTATTACTCAGGATATTAAAATAGACATTAAACAACTTCTGAAAGGATGTTTAGAAAATGTGTGGTATTCGAAAAACAACACTATGCATATGTTTGTCTTGTGTATTTTTTCTCATTCAAAAATAGTGAAACAAAATTGTTTAATTGTTGTTTATATGAGCAAATAAATATGTAATTATTCAGGATGTTTATTTTGATCTGTATGTCTTCAGTGGAACATAAAACATGCCGTGTGTATGTGCACATGTGTGTATGCAAATATTAAATTTCCATTTAACATTTAAGTGTTAGTACTTTTTTTGTGTTTTATTATATAGACATTATTTATTTATTTATTTATTTATTTATTTATTTATTTATTCATATATAATTTAATATATCACACCAGTAAAACATTTTATGTACTTTTTATATTTGTTTTTATATTTATTAAATTATTTTAATATATTTATTTAATATTTATTTTATTTTTTTAACTATTTAATAGTTTTAAAATATTTAAAATTGTCTCTTTAGTTGAGTTGATTTCTCCATTTTCATTCAATTCTTCCTCATATTAAACTAGAAAAGAAAACAAATCCCAATGAAAACAAAAAAAGCTATATAACTTATGAATAATCTTTTTAAAACAGTAAAAAATTCTATTAAATAAAGTTTTTTAGGGTTTACAATTTAAATTACAATTTCATTTAATAAAGGTGCTGTATGTAAGTTTTTGACTCTTCTAAAGTATAAAAATACCATAATATCTTTGCAGATATTGAAGAAACATGCTAATTAAACATTCTTGTTTATGCGAAGTAAAAAAAAAAAAAAACTAAAGTCAGATATTCTGCTTTGAAAATGTTTGTACATGCCAGAACAGCTGTCTTTGTTTTGGTTCTTAAAACCTGCCCAATACCAGCTAAGCCAATTATATTTCAGCACCACAGGTTGCCTTGTTGTTAAAAACTGCATATTTCACATATTTCATTCATTCATTCAGAAAATGCTCTCAAAGTATGCGTCCATGACTGAAATTTGACCTTTGGTGTACAGTAGCAGACTCTGAAATGAAATGCAGATTCAGAGTTCCACATGAGGTTATTAATTAGCAAATAATATAAATATTACAAGCATAAACATTAGGTAAGCAAATTACAATGTAACCAATGTCCTAACAACACATACATGATGTTAGATTCGCAGTGTTAAGCAATTTGGCTGTTTGTACCAGACAAAGCATGACAGAAATTAAAATTTTCCAGAAATTTTACAGCTCTGCAGAAGCATAGAATATGACCCCATCATGTGGTAAAGTTTATAATATAATTAGCACATATTAAGCCTCTTTAACATTATTAAATGTACATTTTAAATCTTGGGGCTCTATTTTGACTGTCCATGCGCAGAGCGCAAAACGCAGGGGGCAAACGGTTTCAGGGCGTGTCAAAACGCATTTTTGCTAATTTACGGACGGGAAAATGCGCTTTGCGCCAAGGCGCATGGGCTAAAAGGGTTGAGTTTATTTTCTTAATGAGTTATAGGTGTGTTTTGAGAATAAACCAATTAGAGTCTCAACTCCCATTCCCTTCAAGAGCCAGCTGCGTCACGCCAAGAGCGCATTCGCTATTTACAGGACGCAAAGTAAGTCTAAGTGAAAAAAATAAGCATTTTACAAGCAAACAGTTAACAGTTTTTTTAACAGAAAACTGTTAAACAGAGCATCTACTGCATAAGAATGAAAGATAAAGGACCTACTTTCACATTTGCTCTTGGATAGGGAAACCTTTACGCACAGACATCTATTAGCATATAAATAATTAATTTCGTTTGTTAAGCGAATCTAAGCTTGTTTTTAATAAAACAAATATAAATATGAATATAATAAATAATACTGCTAATAATAATAACATTATGCAAAAGCAAATTGTTATGAATGAACTGAAAAAGCCTCCCGAGATGAAGAAGACATAAAAGCAGTGATTTTTCATATTTAAGTAGGCTAGAAAATAATATCTTTTGTAACATTTTAATCCTTTATATTTATATCCTATATCTAATCTTATTATATCCTATATATATCCTAGACCAGAACGCCTATGGGCACACAAATGAGCGCTAATGCATTTGCCATTTAAACAGCGTAGCGCAACGCCTCAAAACGACTCTTGCACCAAGCTGAAACTACCCAAAGACTATTGCGCCACGTCTTGCGCCACACTGCGCCGGGTGTATGATAAGGCCCATTATGTGTTGGTTTTGAGTCACAGTTCTAAAGTTAAATTTGAAACAGTTTATTTTATTATCACCATCTGAGGTGAACTATCTGCTGCTGCTTTCAGTAGTATGGCAATAAATGTCATGTAAAATAACACTCAAAATCACATTGTTAACATTTAACACATGAGGTTAGGGCACAGACCACATGAGGTTAGGCAATTTGGCCTAAAATCAAAATTTCATTTAATTGAACATATTAAATCGATTGCGATTAATGAATGATTATTTTATTTTATTTATTTATTTATTTATTTATTTTTTTGCTCCCGCACAGGTTTTGTACAGTAAATTTGCTCACATATTACAGGTGAGAGATTTTTTTAAATGAAGGGTGCATTACTTGATTTTAAAATAACTGAAGGAAACACAAACTAACCACCAACTAAAATAATTTAATACATATTAACATTGAATAAATTAAATTAAAACACCTATTGTCTAAAATGACACCTAATGTCTCTTTTTCTAAATAAATAAATAACTTGCACTTTTGGAAACAAAATAAATTATTTTCAATGTTTTTCACTTAGTTTGCGACCACTCAAAGGGTACACCGGATACTCGATGCAGAAGTATAAACCAGATAGAGCGGGGTCACGTGACTTCACATGGTAGAAATGTAATCGGAACAAAATTTAAAATTTTATCAATCATAGGTTCTGGATGTCGATTTTGATTACCTTTCGTTTCATTGCAAGGCCTTTCATGAGGTGTACCTGAGGTCATTCTTTCCAGTTTTCTGTTGTTCAGCTGCAGGAAATAAAGCCCTCTCTAATATATAAATGTGAGGTGTTGGTTAGAACAAAAACACATTTTAATACTGTATTACTTTTATATTACTTCTATTCCGTACCATTGCTTATATATTGAACACAATTTAAATCAACCTTTAGGCTCGATTGTCACAATCACTCATGTTGGTCGTCAATCTGTGCTTGCGTTTGTTTTGATCCAGGAATGTAATATCTAGTTCAACTGCTGGGTGTCCAACTTACATACTGCACCTTTAACAAAGCCTTCTCATTTACTAGATATCGATTTTATAATTTAATTAGTATTTTATAGATTTAAATCAAATAAACAGAACAGTGTTATAAATGTTTTTTTGCTGTGATGTAATTTAACGTGTTTTATGTATTTAAACAATTCATGATTATTTTCTTTGTATGTGTGTGCGTGTGTGTGCGTGTGTGTATTTGTGCGCTTTTCGGATGATTTTCTGTGTATCACACTGTGTAATGTGCAATGCTGTGTGTTTCTTTTCTCATCTCTCATCATGCATCGTCTCCATCATGTAGACTTCTTGAAAATAGTGCAATCCTGGATCAGTACGAACGGGCTTCAATGAAATATGAAAATGTGGACCGGAGATATACACCAGCATGATAATAACACGGACATTTTAAAGACAAATTAATCAAAAACAGCCTACAGATGTAAAGGAGGACGTGGATCCGTTAACAAAGGAAGTGAAATGGGACGAAATCGCTTTTTCATTTTGGCGTGTTGCCTTTTTTAAGGTTACTTATTTATTACTGCGGAACACTACATGAAAGTTTGTTCATTTACACAAAAAATGTAAATTAGGACTTTTAGTGCATGCCATTTTGCCACCAAATGTTGTCTTTTTATTTGTTCAAGTGATTTTTTTTTTAAAACATTGCATATATTTGTGATTTTCAGCTCTTTTTATTCACAGGTTAATGTTAAGATTTTGATGCATGTTTCTTTATCAACTTAAAATGAGCAACGGTACATCTAAGTAGAGTATGAAACCCAAGACTAATTTCTTGTATATAGATTTAATTATAAATCATAAATATTATAAGAAATTGAATGACACTAAGCCCTTGCCCTCCCTGATAGTTCACTGTAAAAAGGATTAGTTTAACTCTTAAAAAAAAGTGTGTAAACCTGTTGCTTTTAAAGCTATTACTTGATTTACTTTATAAGTAAAAATAAACAATTGAACTATGTGGAGAATTATAAAAATTATATAAGTTAGGTCAACTTAAATGTTCCAAGATACAGATTTACTAACTTTTTTAAGCCAACTTTTAAGTCGCTTTTAAGGCAACGGGTTTACTAAATTTTTTAAGAAATGTAATTGCTTTTTTACAGTGTATAATTACTAACTGCATGTTAAAAATCATACAATTTATAACATAATTAAATTCAATGATTTGACCTTTCCTTTACATGATTAAGTTATGAATACTGTAAACTCTTTCAGTTGCTGTTGTAGGACAAAATGATGGTTCAAAGTATGTTAACATTTGCTACATTTTAGTAGCACACAAACTTTGTATGTTAACTGTGTTCAAGTTTTTGAGACTTACTTGATCAACAGCCCAGTCTCGAATACGACCAGAGTTTATGCTTTGTCAAAGAACAATAAACTGTTACTATAAATTATGAAATTAGGAATGGTAAATCTTCACCTTTCATTCTGTGTGATCCAGTAACCTGGGGTGAATATTAGATGTGATGTCAACGGAGCATTTTAAAATCCCAAATGCATGAGAACAGGGCTTTTCACACTGCAATTAGCTTCAGCTTAGATAACCCTGGGTTATCATTGTTCTACTTTTAGCCTGGGTAAAGTATTTTTTTGCCAGTAATTAATAAGTATCTACCTACAGTGGAGAGAAAAATTGGAGAATAGTGTTGATCTTTTAGAAATGTAGTGTATCGTTCAGTATTTGAAGAAATAAAACAAAAATTGTTAGAAATTGTTAAAGGTGCCATATAATAAAAAATCTGGATAGTCCAACCCAGGCATAGCTGAATAATAAAAGTTCAGTACATGGAAAAAACATGCCATGAGCCTCAAACATCTTCTTTTTTTAAAACTGTTGTGTCATGAAAATCTTGAGTGTAAAATCCCAGTGAAAAAAACAGGCCAATCAGAAAACTCACTGCGTTCAATTGGTCACAATGTTTATAGTTAGATTACAACAATATTTTCTCAGAAATTATTTGAGCATGTATAAAACAAACTATGCATGGGAGACTCTTATTTTGAAAATGGAAGAGGTAAAAAAAAAAAGTAAAGAGGTGGTTTTTTGAAGCAGGCAGTCAAATTTGTCCACAGGGGGTTCACAGCTTGCAAAATGCAGGATATACGAATAGCAATTTCAGTGCCACCATGAAAAATCATTTGTTAGTTTAATGTGTATATTGTGAAATTTGCCACATATGTTTGTAATGAGGCAACAGACACGTTTAAAGTTCTCAAATTAGTGTTTGAGGCATGTTTATGCATTATGTCCTACAATCAGCTCTCACTGGGAGTGAAAGAAAGCAGATGAACTTTGTAAAACGTATAAAGAGGTTGACATTAATTCCTTTTAACATTCATTTTTGTGAAAGCTTTAAAATACAATTTTGTCCTTATATTGAGTAAAATTATAATTTAACGAATGTTTCATACAAAATATAACTCAGGAAGGCAACACGGTGGCTCAGTGGTTAGCATTGTCACCTCACAGCAAGAAGGTCACTGGTTCTATTCCTGGCTGGGTCAGTTGGCATTTCTGTGTGGAGTTTGCATGTTTTCCCTTTGTTCGTGTGGGTTTCTTCTGGTTATTCTGGTTTCCCCACAGTCCAAAGACATGAACTAGAGGTGAATTAGATAAAACAAAATTGGCTGTAGTGTATGTGTGCGTATGAGTGAGTATGGATGTTTCCCAATACTGGGTTGCAGCTGGAAGAGCATCCAGTGTGTAAAGAGTGTGCTGGATAAGTTGATGGTTCATTCTGCTGTGACGACCCCTAAAAAATAAAGGGGCAAGGCGAAGGAAAATTAATTATTGAATATAACTCAGGAACAAACTAAATTTCTCTGGTTGCTTAAAGATATCTCCCTCACTCCTCCAAATTAAAAATAAATCTCCCTACCACTTCATTTGAAAAATATTGTTAACAAGGCATTGACTTGGTTTGTTAAAATTACAGCAGGCACTGACACAAGCTGCAGATCATTAGAGCAGAGCCTATTGATGTTCAGCCCACTCCAAATATTTTCAAAACCAAGCTTTTTATTCTAGAGGTAATTTCTGTGCTTATGAATATCATGTAAAACCAATTCTGGAGATTTTTTTTTACCTTAACAACTTACCTACAATGTAGAAAAATGTACATATTGAATCTATACCACGTTTAGCTCATTTTTGAAATGTGAAATTCAGGATTGTCTTTGCCTGGTGTTTGGTGTAGAAAAAGCCCTATTCTCTCTAGTATGTCAAATGTACTTATTTTAATTAATCACTACTCTAATTCAGATGGGTTGTCAGTGTTTCTGTCTGTGTGATCATTGTCATGACATTTGTGTTTTAGAATTGAGACACTATAAGCAAAGTAAATGATATGCTATTGAAGAATTTATTGATAAATTTGCATTATGGGTGAATGTTTCACTTTCTTATAATACGTAAACAAAATGTCATCTGACGTGGAAGGCACAAAGGTTTGTTTCAACCCTTTTACTTTTATAAATGTTATACATATTCATGTTATATATCTTTAGTATTTATTATTTTAAAATATCATTCTAGGAGTGACTCAAAATAAACTTTAATCATTATAAAATAATAGAAAAGCTGTATTATAGTGGATGCAACAAATTGTGAAATAATCATATTAAAATTGATAAACGATAATATTTAATGATACTTTTTATAATGTTGTTTGACCCTACATTTGATTCACTTATTCTATTTAAATGATTTTGAGATTTTGACAACTTTAGATGTCGAAAAGTTGAAACCAAGCAAAGAGAATTGAATCACCAAGAGGCGATTGTAACAGCCTTGGTAATCACAGGAGACATTTTAACCAATCAAAATAACTTTTGAATGGTATTTTATCTCTATGTAAACATGAATGTCTACAGTACCATAGATCTGTTTTAGATGTGAGTTTGAATAACATCTTCATTTCTTTACAGGCTGTTCCATCATTCCCTCCACCTCTCGTGACTGACATCTTGTGGAAATGGCCTTAAAGAACTTGAAGAGGTTGACATTGTGACATTTTTTGTCAATTTTTAGTATTTGTCTGGGAATATCTTGACACCGATTCATGTTCAGTATCAGATACTGTGAAGCTCTTGGAGACTTCAACATTTTTTCAGATTCTGGACTGAAACTGAATATACAAACTGATGTACATGTTTCATTCAGTGGGATATGAACATGTTTTTATTTCTTCTGATTTGATGATTGTAATGCTCAGATTATTTTTCAATACAATCTGTAATGTCCTAAGTAAGTGCAAAACGTTTTTACTTTACAAGAAACATAGATCAAGACCTTTAAAACACAACCATACAGTCAAATACATGAACCAAGGGGTAAACTAGTTTCAAATTCTCTAGGTGATTTCACTGTGACTTTTGCCTGGTTAGACGTCTCTGACTAGCATCTCTCACAAGACTTGTTCTCTTAATGTGCAACATTAAGGTCAGTTATGGTCATGTCTATGCATACAGTAAAATATGAGTGTTCCGAGCAACTTTACAGATACAGTAAATTGGTATCAACTGAAAGACAAGCACATATCAGAATATTTCCCTTCTACGATTACGATTTCTGAAACCTATCATTTGATTAAGTATTTAGTTAATATATTTGAATGATGCTGACTGAATATTTTAAATAAAGTGAATCAAACCTATTGTGGACTGCTTTGGACCTTTATTTTTTTTTATTAAAGAGCCTCTGTTATACATTAAAAAAGGTCATATTGTGGTTTTGGAAGTCATTAACAACATTCTGATATGCATGCAGGGTCCATAAACACTTACATTGTCTTATAATATGCATTTACTTTTGCCCAATTATCCCTACGACTCCCATATGATTTGTTTAGCAATTCATTTGTTCCCAAACCCCTCTTTAGCGCAATGTTAATTGATATGATCACCCAGTTTGTTGTGACTGGTCGACTGCGTTCAGCGTGAGACAGAGAGAAATGCCCATCACAGCTTATCAACAAGCAGTCAGAGTGCACAGTGTTTTTTTTTTTGTGAGCCCAATGCAGGAGTGCACTAAAGCAATAACCATACTACTTAACCATAAATCAAAACAGTGACACACATTCGGTAATAATGCACTCAGTGGCAAAAGCTGAACTATTTCAACATAATCTCACGGCAATTCGTAACTTTTTAATTTAGTGGCTAATTCGTACGAATTTGTACAATCTAATTCGTACATTTTAGTACGATTTGCTCATCCCCCTGAAACTTGACAAGCGCATATTTGTAGGAACAGCTGACAGTGCCCATAGCAACAACAAACGGCAGTGGATTGCGAGCTCACAAACGCATTAAAATCCTTAAAGCGGCACGTGTTGCATTTTCAACATGGTTTTAGATCTATATGAGAATATAAAGAGTTAATTAGATACAGTACAAGCGATTGCAAAAGACAAAACAATTAAATTAACAATTAACAATTGTTAAAAATTAACAATTAACAATTCAATACATAATTTGCAAGCTGGAGAAAACAAGGAGGCAACCATTTTAATCACACTTACACTTGTAAAATGGAAGAAGAAACTGATCCATGAAGTGTGTACTGTAAAGTTCCTGTCAAGCTCTGACAAAGCGCCATACATCAATAGTCTTTTCTTATCCTTTATTTAACAAACGGCTGATGAATTCCTCATTGTAAGCGTGTAGTTTGCTGAAGCACTCATCAGAAAAATGATGGGAACAGAGCATAAGGCTGGGGCTAAAATGCTGAGGTATTTTTGCAAAAATAAACTTCAACCACTGATTCCTCACGGCCTCATCTTTGGGCAGAGAAAGTAACTTTAAGTTTTCCTCACACTTCAGAGCACAGCGTCTTCTGAATGATTCAGCCGACATCTGCTACAGCTTTTTTTCTAGAGTGTTTGTGGGCGGAGCCGGGGGTTTAAATCTGTTTGGGTCTGCACGTGCAACTAATGAGTGGGGCTCCACGTTTCTTATTGACGTCACGCATGGCACAGCTAAAGAATCATAAACACGCAATTCATTTGAACCACTATTGAGTTGACTCTTTTATAGATGAATCAATAGTTTTAAACATGGTGCACTTTTAGATTTAAGCCTTAACTGGATATTTCACTTCACTGAAAGTTGTTACATACTGCATGAAAGGTCATTTTCAAAAACCTATAACAGGGGCTCTTTAATTATTTGTGGTTAATTTTGTATGTTGTATTAAAAAATGTTCAGTGATCCAGCTTACATAGATTATACAAGGCACAGGGAAACACTGAAACTGAAACACTGGCCAATTTAGTGTAGGGTGGCCAATCTACATTGATTATACATTCCACGAGTAAGAGCAGAGTGTTTAATTAGCGGAGTGATAGCACAGTTTTGTTTAAAATAATGCAATGCAAACAACATTATGTGACATATCCA